ATTAGTAACTTAATTAGGTCTGTGGATCAAAGCTTTGGGTAAAGCAGTTTCCATGGCAGTTTGATTTGAAAGAACTTTTTCATCCCTTCCCCCCCCCACACACACACTTCATTTGAAAATGAGTTTTTAGTTTGCATTTTAGCTGGAACTGGCTGCAGGATCTCCAGGGTAGCCATTTAATTGCAAATCCCGTAAGCAATGAGTTATCTCAACATCAACATAAAAAGTTAGCAGGTTTTACAGTAGCCAGAAAAGAGAAAGCATGAGAGACATTTTAATTGTATAGTAGTAGATTGACCATTTGAGCTCTGAATTTTCCTTGATGTAATTTGCCCTACCTAAAAACTTGTGCACAAGAATTGGCTATAACTATCTGGAGACCTAGAAAACCTGGCATGCCTTTGAACCTTTCCATTTACACAAAACTTGCAAGTACAGGTGCCATGAACTAACTGGTGTGCCTAAGAGATCAGTCTCTTTGTCTTTCTTCATTTTTAAAGGATCTGTTTCTCATTTTTCTTTAAAAGAAGCAAATGAACTGTAGTCTAGGATTTGGTATCATGGATCAGAGCGTGCTGATTGTGGGTGGGGCTCCTCAGTGTTTTACCATGGTGTCATTCCCACCCTCTTAGGTGTCTCAGTTTCTCTCTTCGGGGTCTAGTATCTCTGAGAATGCTCAAAATGCCCAGTCATCAGCTTTTATATCAAAAGCTTTTATATCAAAAGCCTTTCCTTGAAGAGCCTTCTTTTAATTTATTTATTGGGGGGTTCCCTGGCCACTCATGCCTCAGGAAGTCACCCCAGGTAAGTCCCACTCAGGACCATGGTCACCTAGAATTACCTTTGGTTGGGAGAAGTAAGAAGCCCTTTCTTCTTCAGAGCTGAGGAACTCAGTCTCTCATTTAAAAACCAGACAGTTCTGTTTCCTCTTTCATAAATGCATAGAAAAGCCAACTGAGATTAATTTTAGGGTAAAAGACAATGGAGAAGACCCTTTAGAATGTAACTCCAAATCTAAATTAGGATCCCAAACAATAATTCCCAGGACAAGAACCAGCTCTGAGTAAACCAAGGCCATCAGCCAAAACCGGGAGGACAGGAGCTCAGGAGGACTTACCAGTTTTGCCAGAGGAGAAACTCTGAGTCAGGAGTGCCAAAAGGGCTGTGCCAGGACCTGGTGCCAAGTTTGGGTGACTCCTTCAGGCATCCTGAGTCTTCTCTCAGACCCATGTTGGGTGCCAATCTTATCAACAGAGAAAAATCCAAGCTCTGTAAAATAACTTAAACAGCTTTATTCTGAGCCAAATTTGAGGACCATGACACAGAGTCATGCCCAAGAAGCCTTGAGGAAGTGGACTTGCTGTTGGCTGGGTTATAGTTTGGTTTTATACATTTCAGTGAGACAGGGGTTATAGGTAAAGTCATAAATCAATATGTAGAAGGCACACATTAGTTTAGGCCCAGAAACGTGGGCTATCTGAAGGAGGGGAAAGGGGCCTCAAGGCTTGCAGGTGATAGGTGGCTTTAAAGATTCTTTCACTTATAACTGAGTAAAGACACGAAGCTTTTGTCTAAAGACTTGGTATGTTAAGATAAGTGAGCCTGTAAATCAGAGACAAGGCACCGGACTTATATTAGCTGTGTAAATTGAGGACCTGCAGGTTTGTCCTTAGGCCTGTTAATGGGTTACAAAGGATGTCTCCAAGAAGGGAGGGGGCATGATGAAGCATGTCTGACCTCCCTCCTCCTGGCAGGCAATTTAGTTTTAGAATAGCCCCTTGGCCAAGAAGGGGGTCTATTTAGTCAGCCATTGGGGTGTGGGAGGGAGACTGAAGATTTTTAGTTTACAACTGTAACACTGAGGGGGTTTTAATCTAAAGATCATCCCATTAGTCCTAAGAAGTCTAACCCCAATACATGTCCAGCAGAGGAAAACTACTAGATAAACAAATTAAACAAAACACAATACCAAAGTGTAAACAGAAAGTGATACAGAACTCTAGAGGAGAAAGGAATGGCAAACTAACAGGAAAATATCATCCAGTATAGCAGGAAAGAAACTTAAAAAAAGAAGCATGAAGAATGAACTGGGGAAGAGTGAGAAGGAAAACCAAAGAACCCATCATGGACAACAGTGGGCATAGAGAGTACCTTTACTTTTCTTGAGAAATGGTTTTATTCATTTTTAACTATTTTCTCCTTGTCAGTGAGAAAGACAGACCAGAAGCATGTGGATCATTTAGCAATGAAGTGAGCAAGGTATGAATGGTGAAATTGGTGAATTTTTGTCCTCAAAAAACACAGGACCTGTGTGCCTATGGCACCAAGTGCACTTTCGTGCATGCAACCGTCTCCAACGTCAGTACCCAGAGAGTGATTACTAAGGGAAGCACGAAAACTGCAAACCCTTGCTTGCTTCCTAACTACGCCAATGTGAAAAAGAAAACAGAAGCCACCTACACTTTGTTTTGTGAGCTGTGTCCAAAACAAAGCCATGGGGGGCAGTGGGAAAGAAAGAAAACATAAAATTGTCTCATACACATTTCATCTGAATTTTAACACCCTGTGTCATCAATTTCTGAAGCTTCATAAGGCCTTTTACTTTAGTTATTCAATCTACTAAACAAGCCATCTCACCATTGCCCCCTTTGAAGGAAGAGTGGAGCCTCTCTCCATGTTGATAAGAGAAAGAAAAAGGAGTCACCTCAGGAGAGGAGAGTGTTCTTAGTACACACCTGAGGCCAATGGCAACAAGTGGTGAGACTTTGTCACTTGCCTGAACCCTTTCGAAAATTCATCAAACAAGAAGATAGAAATTCATATACATTATGAACACAACTTTTTTCATTAAAAAACCAGAAATTGTACCCCCATAATATGATGAAATAAAAGGAGGGGGGAAAAAAGCAAATATAAAAGAACATTGACTAGAAAACAGAAATGCAGAAAAGTGAGGTAAGATTTGCTGCCAAGTATGTCAGTAAAAAGGAGTCACTTTAAAGTTATTAGGTACCAAACTTTGTAATTATATTCATTTTCAGTATTTTTGGATGCGAGTGAAGAAAACTATTCAATTGTGAGTAATACAGTAACTCCAAAGTCTTGAGGGAAGATTCAACAAGTTAAAATGCTATATAACATTTATGTTGGTGCTTATTTTGGACAGTAAGAAGTACACATTTTTTATTAATAGAAACTTAGTTTTTGCCCCATCTATTTAAGAAATGTTGGGGGGAAAACATGTATATGTAAATAATGTTGGTTTAAAAAAGGACTAAAAGATTAGACATACAGGACAATAATATGCCTCTGTCCAGCTAAGAAAACTTTCTACAGTACTCTGTAAAATGTTTATTTGCTGCTTTAGTTATTCTCTCTAGAATGACTGTGCTCAATTTTTTGTTTTAATCTGAGCCTTCTGGATTCTATGTTGGTGTGTTGATTTCTACACCAGTGTGGTGATAGAAGAGCTGTTTTATGCTGGTTCCTTCTCATCTGGGACTTGTTTTCTCAGTGCAAAACAGATAGCAGACATGGTGCCCCTGTTCTGTCCTCCTGTGGCCTCTGCTGCTCAGTGAAGACTGGGATGTATCCCTGGATGGCATGCCTGGGTTCTACTCCAGAAGCTTCACTAGGCAGGAGTGGGGTGCATATACTGTGAGACTTTAAGGTGGCTGTTTTTCTGTATCTCCCCTGTTCCCTTGTGGTTGTCACTGGGCTGCTATGGCAGGGTCAACCCCTGGTGCAAGGTTCACACGGGAAGTGGGCCTGTCTGGCAGGGTGGGTGTGCATGAGGGGTGGAGGAGCCCTGCTGGGCATGGTGTGCACTTGTGCAGGGTTGGATGGCCAAGGTGCTGGGCATGTGGACAGGGAGAGGTGCGTGCAGGGTGGGGTGCACATGCAGGACATAGCAAGCCCACAGGGCAGGCCCACAGGCAGTGTGAGCCACAGAGTAGGGTGCTGCTCAGGATATAGCAGGTCAATGGGACGTGATGATCATGCACATGGGCTGAGGTGGCCATGGAGCAGGGCATGTGCAGAGTGTAGTACCCAAGGCATTTGTGTGGCCTGTGGCATGAAGTCTGCCCAAATCCAAAGGTGGAGTATACACTGGCTTTCGCCCCACTGGGAGCCTCTCAGGCGGCTGCCATGACAGTGGGCAGTGGGCACTGAGGGCTACAGGTGTGTGCTCTGCGCAGGTCCCACAGGGAGTGCTGTTGAATGGGTTGCCCAGGCCACAGCAGTGGGCACCAGGCCCATGGTCTCCTACTCTGCCTGGGTCCCCTGACAGAAGCAGGGGTGCATATGACTTGCTAATGGGGTGTACAAGAGCACTAGGATGTCCTGTTCCCTTTCTGCCCAGTAGGAGGAAGGGGAGGGCAGCAGTCACAGATCTGAGACCTGGGCAGAAGTAGTGTTCTGGGGTTGGGACATTACAGTGGTGCCACCTGCAGTGCCCAGGGCTTGCAAGCCCGCCAGCCGTTCCTTCTCCCCCGCAGCCGTGCAGCTGCAAGCCTCCAGGCAAGTCAGGCCAGAGGCCTCCTGCAGTGGAGGGCGCTCCCACTGCTCTGGTTGTGTATCCTCATGGGAAGCTGGAGCCCTCCTTTGTCCCTTTCCCACATATGGGCATATGGGCGCAGTCCCTAATTACCTGTGGTCCTGCTGAGCAGGTCTTTTCACGTCTATCTTTCTCACTTCACTCCTACCTCCTCTCCTCAGATTCCTCGTGCTCTCGCTCAGATGGTAGATCCAAAGGTGGACTCTATTCACCACTTTGTTTTTGCTTTTTTGTTTTTGAGACAAAGTCTTGCTCTGTTGCCTGGGCTAGAGTGCAGCAGTGTCACCATAGCTCACAGAACCTCAAACTCCCGGGCTCAAGTGATCCTCCTGCCTCAGCCTCCCGAGTAGCTGGGTCTACAGGCGTGCACCAGCTAATTTTTTCTCTTTTTAGTAGAGACAGGGATCTCACTCTTGCTCATGGCTGATCTCGAACTCCTGACCTTCAGCAACCCTCCCACCTTGGCCTCCCAGACTGCTAGGATTATAAGTGTGAGCCACCGCGCCCGGCCTATTCACTGCTTACTCTCATCGCCATGGGAGTAGCGTCCACGCAGGCTGCTTCTATTCCACCACCTTAGCCTCCCAAGTCTCTTCTCTCATTTAACCCCTACTTCAATCCTGCTTAAGAGTAGTACAGGTCTATTTTGTGTAAAATAAAACTAAGGCTCAGTGAGGCTCTGTGACTTTCCTAAGATTATATTGCCGGCAAATAGCAGAAGTGGCATTCAAAGCTTGGCCTCTACTTTTAAGGGTCATGCTCTTGGTTACTACACTATCTTATTTTTCTGGATTCTAGACAATCTCATTAACTGTAGCCCTCTGACTACAAAATCTGATTGTGATTTTCCATTAAAATTGGTTTATCCTCTTTGCTAGCTAGTCAGGTCAGAAATTGATCATTAACATGACCCTTGGTGGTAATCACTGGTGAACTCCAAGTATAAGCAAGATTTCTTGTAATCTCTCCTTTGGGGTATTTTTGAATTATACATCATTTGGTTCAGAGTGAACTATAAGTGAAATAAAAATATGATAAAGCTAGGAGGCATAGTTGGAAAGGACCTGAGTTTGACCTTCATGACTCCTTAGTGTCTATCTCCTGAATGTACTAACCTCTCTTATGTCACAGAACCTTTGCATACACTTCTTCAGCTTCCATTAACAATCTTCTTGCATAGTTTGAGTGGTAGATGGTTTGTCATTCTTCAGGTCTCAGTGATATGTCAGCTCTTTAAAAGTTTTTCCTTGCAATTATTCCAAAGTTACTTGCTATCATATATTGCTTGTTTTTTGTTTTTTTAACACATATTGCCATTGAGAATAATTGTATTTCTTTTTGTGTTTACTTACTAAATGAATCCTTCGCTAGAATGCTATTTACATGAGAGAAGCAATCATAGATCTGTATTGCTCAGCTCTCTATGCTCAAAGCTTATGACAGTATCATGTGCTAAAAAAATTTACGAAATGAATAAGTTAGAAAAAAACCCTTTGAATTTTAATTTCTTCATTAATAATTTGGGATGATGACTTCTCCTCTTTGGGGTGATGATATCTCATACATTTCTTATGAAGTGACTATGAATATAATAAGGTACATTGTATATAAAAGCACATTACGAATTCCAAAGTATTACACAAATGTTGACTAAAACTAAGGGAAATTTATCATAGATATGGTCCATTTCCTAATCCATTTGGGACTATTGTCTTATTCTTGGTGCCTTCTACTTCCAGCATGTACATCAAATGGTCTTCATGTGACTTTTTGATTGAGTGGAGCCTCATGATAGTGCTACCCCAACTGATCTTGTCTTCTCAGATTGTGGACTAACTGGCGGGCATATTTTGACCTGACTTTCTCATGAAAAACTCACTCACTAGTTCATTTTCCCATCCCACAAAGTATCATAAGGTGACTGGTTAGTTGATTTGGTACATTTTTTGAAAATGTATTGGTAATAGTTTCATGGCTTACCTTTTTCTAGAATTGCATTCATTTAAAGCTGGGCCTTTCCTAAGTGACTTTTGTGGACATTGCGAGCCCCACTGACTTAAGCCAGTATTATAATGTAATGTTGGGTAAGGCTGACACCGGTGAATGGATGATTCTTGTGAGGATGATTGAATCTGTCTGTGTCTGTGTAAATTGTCATCTGCTTTACCCACTGCTTAAAAATAAATTTAAAAACTTGAAAAAAAAACCCAGAAATTTTTCTTTATAAAAAAAGAACAGAAATAAATATCTTATCACTCACCCATCTAGGTCGTCTCTTGGCTATTGTTCTCCAGTAGCTTCTGCTTTCTGCAACATGAAAAAGGAAGTCACTAGAGTTTCCTACCTGACATTATTTGTGAGCATTGCACTACAGGGCACGTTTCAAGTAAGAGCATTCTGGTTTACAGATGAGGTATCTAGGTGATTTTAACAATCTCTTTCTCCTCTAAGGCTCATGTTCTTCTGCATTTTTGAGCAGATTCTTCTTCCCTAATTTTTTTTCACTGCATGATGTAAAGATCTACCTATGCAACCCCTGGCCCTAAAAGACACCCCTGGAGAGATCTCATCTGAAATGCATGAAAATACTTTTTAAAAAGCTATTTTGCTCTTATTTCTATCCATAATAAAAAAATTATCACCATGTTCCATAATTACATCAATTAATGTTTTAGGAAATTTATGTTTTTTAAGTGATCAAGATTTTCTTTTCATTTCAGAACTCAAGGTAAAAAAATTAAATTTGATATATTGCTTTTCACTTTATAAAGGACTTGTAACCTATATTGGCAGCCAAAAGCAAGTCTAAATGTAAAAAGGAATGCATAAGCATTCTAGTAATAATTCAAAATAAAAAAAAATTTACCTACTTTTACTTGGTCAATTTCCTGATTCTTGCCAAAAATATTCACCTGTCAATCAGTTAATCTAAAGCAGAGGGGGAAAAGCTGGCAGAGATCACCAGTGCTCCTTCAAGAGATGGAAACTATTAGTGTCTAAAAATATTATAATTCATTTAAAATATGCATTATTCAGTATAATTCCACGCTCCACACAGACCTGACATGAATATATTTCCAATTATCTTGAGAATTTGTTTCATTGCTCGATCTCACAGATTTTTCTGGTAGCAGAAAACTTTGAATTAAAGTTTAACATTCTCAGGCGGCCGGTTAGCTCAGTTGGTTAGAGCGTGGTGCTGATAAAGTTTAACATTCTCTATCAAGTATTAATAATTAGCTTTTCCTGTTTTGTCACCCTTACTCCAATCCCTCAACACCATAAAAACACATGAACACATCCACATACACACCATGTATACCTTCTAGGAAAACGTGTTTATACTTTTCAGGATAAAGAAAATTAAGTACATATTGTTCTGTGTATGAGAATCTTGCCAAGGCTACCCCAACACAGAACTGTAGGTAACCTGAGCCAGCAAGACTTGCTTTGCATTTGCCTTTTGTTATCTGGGTTAGCAGTCAGTGAGCACGTGGTACAGGGACACTAAAATGACATGTTTTAACTGTCTTCACTGCCAAACGAAACTTTCCTCTTTCTCTCTTCCATCTGCTTAGTAAAAAATAGATGGCTATAGATGATAGTTGATAGACAGATAACAGGTGCGATAAGACATAAGATTTCTCACTAAATAATATCTCCCTGATCTGGCATTACTATGTAACAGGTCCCATGAATTAACCCAAACTCTATAAGGTTGTAATGTTAGCTCACATTTATTGAGCATTAAAAATAGCCCTGGCACTGGGCTAAGTCAGTCTTGTGTTACTTTAATCCTCACAGCAGCCTTATCAAGTGAGTGTAGTTATTTCTCTTGTGTTGCAGATGCACAACTAAGTTTTACATAGGTTCTGTATATAACTCACTCAAAGTCACACAGTAGACAGTAAGTGTTAGACCTGGGATTTGCACCCAGCTCTGGGGGACTCTAATGACTGTGGCTCCTACGCTCTTAACAATGTTACCACCCTTTAGTACACAAGCATTTGCTACCATAGAAAATATTTTAGGAAACTCAAATCGTCACTGATTCAGCTAAGCTTCCAAACAAAAGGAAACCTGGTAGCCTTCAGGAGCTCTATCCAACCATCAGACTTGGGCACTATGAATTGTTGCTTACTACTGTTGAGTGGCTCCAAAAAGGAATGATTTATTGTCAGGGGTTAGTGGCATTGTCTTACTCCAGTCACATGAGCATGAATTAAGTGAAAGCTAGGAGTGCCCAGTGAGCCACACCGTCTTTCAGAGTGTTGCTGCAAGGAGAGGAGGAGGGTCCCGAGAGGATCACAGACTCTGCTCAGGAAAGCTCAGGTTCAAATTCCTGCTCTGCCATCTTAGCTTGACGACTTTCCTCACTCTGGTTTCATCTGTAAAATAACAACCCCGGGAGGAGTCACCCAGGTACTCAGAAGTGCCTGCCATAGATATTCCCTCACTCCTGACAAGATGAAACCCTTCAAGGGAAAGTGTTTCTTCAAGTTAGCACCAGCTCACAGAAGGTTCTGAAAATGCAAATATTCCACTCCATCCATCACCTTTAGAATAAAGCTTTTAGGAAACCCTTTGGATGGTGCGTAGTGAATTAAATGAGTACAAACTTCCCTAATATAGAAGCATCTGATTTAATCTGTGGGGGCAATTGCAAGATTGCACAGTTTACCCAGTAGTAAAGTACACAAACATGGAAGATAGAAATCCTTCGTAATGGGAAGGGGGGCGGTAGGTGGGGCTGAGGGGAGGAGGCTTTTGACCTGAAAGGCTAATGGTGCTACACCAGGATTTTTCTGTACAGTTGTTACAATTCAGGGGCCATGATATGATCTGGGTGTATCTAAAATCTACTGAAGAGAGGGCTTTTTTTCCTAAAAGGGTGTCACTGCATTTCAAAGTCAGAGAAAGCAAATCTCGCAAAGAGAGACAAAGCCCTGCATATGGGATGACTTTTGAATGAGCATCTCACTTACAATAAGCCTATTGAGAAATAAGATTCACATCATTAACTAGAGAGCAAAATATCATGATTATCTTTTGGACTTGTTAAAAGCAAATTTGCTCCTTGGTTGTTCAGGCCAGTCTTACATGTAAACTGAAATCCTCTTCTGAGATTACACATGGAAGAAACACATTAGCTGTGCTGTATGGGGTCAATCTGGGAAGTTTTCAATGTTTTTTAAAACATTATTTAGTCATCCTAATCAAACTCCACAAAGGCTACAAAATAGGTTAGGAGTTTAGTTTGTAAACCAGCACAGATGCAGGATTTGTACATATTGGAAAACACGGGATTTAACATTGGTTTCCTCTGTTTAATGCTCTTTGGGGTATTATCGTTCAAAGAAGACACACAAAACTTTCAGGGGGCTTGTTTTGTTTTTACCGTATCAACAAATGCAATACTGTAGTAGTGTACATTTAGGTTTACTTTGCCAGAATACAATTTGTTTCCATACTACAAACCCTTGTATAATGGAGACATAACTAGTTCTAAGTGTTTATGGTTTATATAGCTGGAGAAAAGGGAGTGACAGTAGCAATTCTGCACTTGTAAGATCTGAAATTTCAGAATATTACCAGCACTATTATGCTAATGTTCACAACAATCATATCATATTTTATTAAAACTACTATTTCTTCATTGATTATCCTCATTCATATATTATTTCCTTTTTCAAAGTTTAGATTCATAACTCTAAACTTAATTTTATAATATGTTTAGAAGCAAGTTCATGAGGGTTGGGAGAAAGGTTAAATGAGAAATGTAATAGCTCTTCCTCTAAGAAATTCTGGTACTCTAGGCTCTTAAATGTACTCCACATTAGAAAAATTAGGAAAGAAAATTCGTTTAGCAAATATATTTCTTGAGCTTGATGATAGTGCTTAGTGGCTGGTTTACAAGAGGTGTTCACTTCATACTTCTTGAAGGAAAGGAGGAAGGAAGGAAGGAAGGAAGGAAGGAAGGAAGGACAGGAGAAGGAAGAAGAAGTGGAGGACGGAGGAGGAGGGAGGGAGGCACGGAGGAGGAGGAGGAGGAGGGAGGGAGGGAGGGAGGGAAGGAAGGAATTCATATTATATGTGTGTTTTATTTTCTTCTTACCATTGGAATGCTACAGCTCAATAAAACTTCAGAAATTATGTCATCTAGCCCTCTCATTGAACAAACAAGGGAATTTCTGGATGTGATATAGTCCCTAAAGGCATAGCCCTATGGTTTATTTGGGGGCCAGAAGTCTGTGAGTATCAGTCCCAGAAGACACATATTTGCAATCCCTCCATAACCTTTGGAGGGCCACTTTTAAGGTTTTTCAAACCTAACTTCCAACCTGTATTTCAGGTTATCACTGAACATAACAGAAATCTAACTTGTATCAAATATCTTATAAAATATTTAACAGCACATAATGGTGGAAAGGGCATAAGTTTTGTTATTAAAGTTGAATTCAAACCCAGGTACCACCATTTACTAGAGCTGAATATCACACACATCATAGTTTATATCTTTGAATCACAGTTTTCTCATCTATGGAATGAAGACCATAGTGGCTATGTCAGAGGATTAAAGGAATATATATATATATATAGTACCTGATGAAGCTATGGCATTTAGTAGGTAGTAATTTAATTTCTTCTCTCCCCTTATTTTAAAATGCTACCCTTAAAAAGTATACCTACCACTTCTGTAAGTTTCCACAGTGATTTTCCAATCATTATCTTACTTAAGTAGGACAGCTATTACTTGCCTGTTTCACAAATGGGAGATTAAGCAACCTGCCCATGTTCATAGGTAGTAGAATTGAGACCCAATCTGATTTGAAGGCAGTAAATGGTTTGTTCTTCAGGGAGCTATTTTCATATAGAATAAAATTGCCATGGGAAAATTTAAAATATAAAAGATAACCTCCTAGAGTGAAAATCAAGTTAGTTAGAAGTAAAATATTTCCAATTTTCCTACAAACACAGGGATAAAAGCAGAGGTTGAGAACCAAGAGAATATTTCAATTCTGACTTCAGGGACAAATTTAGATGGCTATTAATTTTCATTATAATGGTTCTCACTATATTATATATGTACTGTGATGAATCATGGATACAGCCAGAACTCTCCTACTCCAAATCAATCATGCATCTGTAGAAAGAATGAGCTAGAAAAATATTTGGATGCCAGGGTCCCTGTTTTGTTTTCATGTATTTTGATTTTTTTATAGAGCCCAATATTCAAAGTCTAGAAAGTCACATTATATTTGCTTCAGTTGCTCTTTATAAAAATATAAACACCATAAATCAATTTGCATCAGCATCAAAATCAACTGGAGTAATCAATCAGACTAAGCCTCGAAGAAATTCTCATTTTGCTTTTTGATGATCCCATTCTGAGGTTTCCCAATTTTAAGTACAACACTTTTAGTCTTTAAAAAATGTTACAATTTGCTATCACAATAAATTTTTCAGCAGGAAACATAAGTCCATCCCATCATCCATTGTAGTTCTCTCTTATTTTACCCAAGGAAGCCCTTACTGTCAACTTCTGTGTCATTATTTTGCACATGTTTATCTTCACCTATACAAACATAAAATTAATACCAAAGCCAAAACAACATAAAAAGTTATCATTTTTTAACTTTAAGATTCTCCTCCTCTAAATCTTTCCTTTGCCTCTTTTGTAATCAGAAAATCTGATATCAATGATGTAAGATTTCACAGGGATGGCCCTCTGAACAAATCTGTTATTACCCTAGACAAAAGGGAATGCTCACACTACTTGTCACTAAATCAAGTAGAATATGCTCTTCAAAAGTACTCAGTGTTTAAAGCAATAAAACAATAGACTAAAATATAGTCAGTTCTCCACTCACCTTTTTCTCCTGGTTGGCACAGGGATTCATAACTAGAAACTTTGGCATCTAGGACATTGCAATTCATTTTCCACCTTGTGTCTTTGGCTCTGAAAACTGCAGAAAGTTAACTAATAAGACAAGACAGTTTGAATGATCCTTCAACATCCATCTATTCCCAAGAAAGAACTAAAAGGCAGTAGAATACCAATCTGGAATATTCTATCTCCTTAACAAAACGGTCTATTGAGACCTTGAGGTACACATGAGCAGGAACGCAGCTCAGCCAACCTAATGAGGAGCTTGCAAGTTCAGAAGAGCTCAGAAGGATGATGGCTTCCAGAGAATTGGAACTATGGATCTCTAGAAATAAAGTTACCTCACAAAATAATTCAAATGTATTTGAATTTCCCATATTTGGATCATTAGGTGTGACGACATTAAAAAAAAAAAAAAAAGAAGGCATTGCTAAAGAGGTGAGAGCCAGGGATGGATTTTAGGGACAGCAGCACTGGGTGACCACTCACTGGGCTGTTAAGCACAAAGAAAATCCACACTGGGGAACAAAGGGGACCCGGTGGGGGCAGAGGGGCCTTCTTCTCTCCAGGCTCCAGGCCTGGCTGCAACTCACTCAGATGCCACTGCAGGTGGCGGGCTGCTTCTTGCCGACTCCCACCCCTAGCCGTGGGTCCACGCCTGTCTGACCTCACACACCGTGTTGTCAGGATCCAGGGAGCTCAGGGTCTTCTTGCTGTCCACTCTAAAGGCAAGGAGACATTTGAAGGGGACTCTTCAAAATGTGTTTTGAAGTAAATGCTAAAGCAAGTGGTATCAAAAGAAACCTTAAAGGCAAACTACACACTGGGAGAAGATATTTGCAACACATGTCACCAAGAAAGAATGTGTATCAAGATGATATAAGGACATATATTGGATTACAGTAAAATGAAGAAATTATGTTCCTCAAAAGACCATTAATATAGTGAATAGGCAAACCACAGAGTGGGAGAATGTATTCACATTATGCAAATATCATGAAGGACCCATCCATAATATATATATTAAAAACCCTCCTACAGCTAGCTCCGAAACAAAAAGACAACCCCATGAAAAAGTGAGCAAAAGAGTCAGAAACAAAAAGACAACCGATAAAAAGTGAGCAGTGGTCTCCTCTTATCTGTAGTTTTACTTTCCTGAGTTTCAGTTACCCAAAGTAAGCTGTGCTCTGAAAATATTAAATGGAAAACTCCAGAAATAAACAATTCATAAGTTTTAAGTTGCCACCCTTCTGAGTATTGTAACAAAATTTCTCACCACCCTGCTCCGTCCCACACAGGATGTGGATCCTCCCTTTGTGCAGCATCTCTTCTGCTCATGACGCCATGAAACTAAAATTTCCCATTCCCGATTCTCACGCACTCTGGGCAAGCACAGGATAAGAGAAACAGAAGGCAGATGGCATTCACTATTCCAGTGGCATCCTTGCACGTTTTCTGGCCCCAGCCCTCCCTCCCTCCCTCCCCCTCTGTCCAATATGGGTAAATTAGCATGCCTGCACTGCAATTCCCTGGGCCCAGTTAAATGCACAGCCAGTATTTGCTGAACAGCTGCAGAATCATTCCCCAAGGCCCCCGTGTATGTGCCACCTACCTCGTGCAGGCTACCCTCAGGCTCCTTCTAGACCAGCTTAGCGGGCCAATTCTCTGGCAGCCCAGGGCCTGCCCTAATGCCCTCCCCTGCCCCTCCAAGATCCCGGGGCTGGGCTCTGCCTGCAGTACACTCCTGTCTCTATGTCCTGTCAGGACACATGGAAGAGTCTCCAGTGAGCCTGGCCTTTGCATTTCTATTATAACACCAGCAGCCTGGTGGCCAGGTGCTCTCCAGTCCAAGGCCACAGCTCCCTCCCTCCTCCTAAGGGAACCAGTAATCCATCTGCATCCCAGGGAGGATGGGCCAGCTCTGGAGGTTGCTGCCTTTGCTCCATCAGGAATTTTCTTTCCCAATTTCACAGAGCAGGGGCAGCATCTGGTACCCTGCACGGACCCCAGTCCCCCACATACTCTCTGGGGCTCAGGCCCTGCCCTCCTGCCTTCTGCCCCATCAGAGTGCAGCAGGGACATTACCCATCTGTCATTTACTATCCTGCAGTAGAAGGCTCAGGAGTCTCGGCCCAGCAATGTCACAGGCTAGCTGTGTGACCTTGAGCAGGTCACTTCACTCCTCTGAGCCTCAGACTCCCAGTCCTCAGCCTGGGGGGACAGGGGAGCAGCACGGCCTAGGGAATGAACATCAGCCTTGGAGACTGACTCATCTGCTCCATCAAACGCCACTCGGGTGGCTTAGGCTTGTGGCCTTACTGCCTCAGTCCTCAGTTTCCCCATAAGCAAAATAGGGGACGTAATAACACCCTAGGCTGGGAGGATCCACCGAGCTAGCACACATATCACGTGCCTGGCACTCGGCAGGTCCTATCCTGGTGCCCTTCAAGCTCTGCCTCTAACCCAGCCTTGCACACGTGCCCACTGGAGGAGGTTTCATGCAGCTGGCAGGGTCTGCACCTCCCGGGGCTGCCCAGGGAAGGAGAACCCAATCTCCTAGCCCCACCCTACCCCACCCTCAGAGCGCCGGCTGCCAGGCCACCGCTCCCTTCCCGGGATACTTGTGTGCAGCGCTCGGGAGGAGGCGACTAATGAGCATCTGGGTGGCTTAACCCCAGCAACTACTCTAGATTTTTCCAGTTTACACAGACAAAGCCAGACCCCTGGAAACTGCAGGTGGACACATGTCACAGCCTCCAGAGCCCATTAACAGCCAGGCAGCTCTGCTCTGATGCTTCCTAACAAGGAGAGAGTCCCCGTGGCAGATCTCCGAGGAGGTGAGTGGGCACTCAGGCATCCTCAGGAATCATACTGTGCGTTCTCCCTGTTTCCCACCCCATGGGGACATTCCTAGTGGGAGGAGGGGAAGGGGGCAGACCCGAGGCCCTGTAAAGAAATGCTACCACGTGCAGGGCATGGCCTGCTATGGACTGAAGGGACCATGGCCTGGTCAATGACTCTGGAGCTCTGAAGGGAGGGGAGGAGGCAGCCAGCTTGAGTTGTGACTTTGGCCAGGACCCCTTGCCTGGAGTTGAGGGCACATCCTTCCCTTCCCTGAGGAACAACAGAGAAGCTACCTGTCACAGCTCCGTGGGGCGTGGGGCGTGGGGCCTCCCTGCCAGGAGGACGTTCCCCTGCAGGAACTGTGTCGGAAGCCTCTGGGGTGAGGACGCGGCCCCTTCTGGCGTCCATCCTGGCGAGGGCAGCAGAGGTGGCGGCGTGCAGGGGCAGCCGTGGGCATGAGCCGGTATCCGGTGGAGCACGGTTTCCAGGGAGCAGAGCGAGTCTCAGGCGGGGGCTGCTCCTGACTGTGCAGCGGGTTCTCTGGGCCTCCCAGACGGTGCAGCACTTGACACCCTGGAACAACTTCTGTGTCTGCGTCAACCGGCAAGAGCAGGTTCCATTGCTGCGAGTGAGTGCTAGGACTGACACAGGGTTCTCCTACACGCCGGCTGGCTGAATGGGTGAGGAGTGAACGGATGGGTGGACGACGTCTTTCTGCAAGGCGAGCCCCAGTGCCTAGCCCAGACTAGGCCCCAGGGCATGCGTGAGGGCAGGTAGAGTGAATGAGCGCCTACTGAATGCTGACGCTGGGTGTGCTTGGCAAAGGCTGGGGAGGTGACATGCAGATGGTGCAGACGCAGCACCTCATTCACCACCTGGCAAGCAAAGAGGTGGTGACTCTTCACTTGCTGTCACCTTCCCTTGTGCCAGCAGGACAGGGAGTGTGGCCTCTGTTACCGGAAGATAGTCCCAAAGAAAGGCTGCTGCAGCACACAAGACAGGAACATGGAGACAGATAAAACAAAGCCCTCGGCCTGGGGAGTGAGAGAGACTCCAGGGTGAACCATCAGAAAGTGCAGAACGCTGACTCAAGGACCCGCCAAGAGGACAGAGCCCCGCAGCTGCCTGATGGAACCGGGAAAGACACACCAATTAAATCCGTGCGAATAATCGGCTCAGACCAAAATAACCACTCCAGGCACACGCAAAGTAGTAGTGTCCGCCGTCCAGGTGCTGGACGTGCCCATCGGGGCGGCTCTGCGGCAGTTGTAAAGGTCGGCCTCAGGCTCCCCTAGAAAAGCAAAGAACTGGAATGGCAAGAGTTTCATGTTAAGAAATATTTTAAGCCTGAATGGCTTCCCAGTCACAAGTAGCCCGACAGAGCACTTTGTGCATCCGAGGGAGCTGACAAATGCCACTTTGGGGCCAGGGTGCAGGGAGGCAAAGTCGCACAGACAACAAAGTCCAAGCCCTCACGCATGGATGTGTGCGTGCGGCTCGGAGAAGACAGACGCACGGCCACTGTGTGTCCCCCAGCACGGGCCGGGCGAGGCGGTGGGCACTTGAGACTAGGGGAGCTGATCCGTGCGAGCCCGCGGTCCACAACTCAGAGGGCCAGACCTCAGGGGGCCTCCACGACGGGCCGATGCCACGCCCCTGGGGAGTGGCTGAGCTGGGACGCCAACCCGTTTCTCAAACATCCCTTGTTGAGAAGGGCCAGGACATTTCGGGCAGGACCTGCTACAGAGCTCACAGAACAAGTGTCCTCAAAGTGCCAGAACAAAACAGGCCTGGGGCCTCCAAACCAAATTGCTGTCCTCAGCTCCCACAGCCAAAGTCTGCTTTCTTAACGATTCCTGAACGTCCCAGACACCGGGTGCAGGGGGTGGTGCCCTCAAGCTGGCAAGGCCACTGCCCCCGGCCTGGGCAGGCTTCAAGAGCTCTGTTCAAGATCTACTGGAAATACCTTCAAGTGGCCGTGCCCTTTGGCCATTCTAGAAATCTATCCAAAGGACATAATCATTGCACAAAGATGTGCAAAATACCAGCAGTGAACAGCTGCTCAATGGTAGGAGGTTAAATACATGATAACATCACACACGCAGTATGGGGAATTGTGCAGCTGTTCAAAAGGCTGCTGGAGAACAATGTTTCCCTAACCGTGTCCCACGTGACCTCCATGAGAAACTCCTGCTCCAGTACATTTAGGACGCGCTGCACAGCAGGGAACAGAAGGCCCTCGGGAGAGGCCGTCAGAGTGACCACGTGAAGGGCAGGCTCGCAGAGGGCAGTAGGGCAGGGAGCCAAGCAGAGAGGCTGAAGCATCCAGCGCTGGACAAGCAGCCAGTTGACCCCCCCCCCATGAGACAGGGGAGGGAGCAGTTATCGGAACCCAAAGGGGCTGCAGGAGAGAGCTGTGGCTGGGGACAGAGGGACAGATGGCACAGAGGGGGCTGGAGAAGGAATACCCCGGCCTCTCTCTCTCCTGCCCACTGATCTCTCATCAGGGAGAGAGGAACCCAACAGGAAGCCGAGGGCACGGGAGCTGGTGGGAGAGGGCACCTTCTAGGACACAGAGCGTGGACAGCAGCAGACACCACATCCAGACGGACAGATGGAAGGAACACCCCGGACACACTCCCTCCCTTTCTCTCTTCCCCTTCCAGAATCAAAATGCACATGGGCTAGCACACTGAGCATACACACCTACTGCATTTACCGCTGCCCCGTCCCAAACATTATGGCTTTTCTCCTGGTGACTTTAGGTAGCACTGACCTCAGAGAGTTAATGCCGTAGGACACTGTGTCAGGAAGTAGGCGAGATGACCACACTACAAAGCCTCACTGCCAGCATGAGCCCAGTGGTGCTGACAAAGTATTTGCACGAGGAGAAAAGCCCAGAAGGAAATTCTCCCCCAACTACGGATGACGAATGATGATTTTAATTTTATTTTAGTGCTTTTTAAAAAAATGTGTCCAACTGAACACAGTGAACGTGACTCAGAGTTTTGTCTTTGTTTTGTTTTATAATTCTATGATTTTTAGTAACTGTACTGAATGGTGCATCCACCACCATGTATCAGTCTTAAAACACCTCCTCTTCCCAGTGAGATCCCTCCCGCCCTTCACACACGGAGCGGCCCCTTGCTCATCCCTCCCTGCAGTCGCTAAGCTGCTGTCTCTATGGAGTTGTCTGCCCGGAACTTCCACAAGAAACGGCCTTTTATGGCAGGCTTCTTTCACTTAGCACACGTTCTGTAGGTTCATTCATGACGTGGTGCGTATCAGTAGTTCGTTCCCTTTTAGGGCTTAGTGGCATTCCATTGTGTGACTGTGTCACATGTTGCCACCCATTGGCACCGTCTTACAGAATGTTTCCACCTAGAAGCCACCAAGACCTGTTCTCCAGAAAGAGGACAGAGAGAGGGTGGGCACGCTCAGGGCCAGCCCAGAGGAGGATGACAAGGAGGCGGCTGTACAGTGTATGGCCACAGCTGGGCTCGTGAAGAGAGAGCCGAAGGGAAGGGGCTCTGCTCGGGCACAAAGAGGGCATGCAGAGGCCTGGGCTGGGCAGGACAGAGACAGCCAGCGTACCTTGGCCACCTCACTGCTTTCCTCCTGCATGTTCAGCAGCAACGGGAGCAGAAATTTATACAGTTCCCTTTTCATCGTGGTTCTCAGCTTACATTTCAGGTCCCACCCCAGCATGTGGCCCAGGGCAGAGGTGGCTGCCATCCTCACCGGCTCCCTCTCCTGCCATGGAGCACAAAATGGAGATGAGGAGGCGGTGGCTTCCCGGCCCTGCCTGGCCCGGCTGCCTCTCATCCCCGTCTCCGTGTGCGTGTCCAGCTGCAGCGGCCGGCCTGCTTCCTCACTGCGGAGACCACACTGCCGTGTCTCAGTGATTCTCTTTAGACCCCCGGAGCTGAGCAGGCAGTTCACGTAGGCACAGTGCCAGGGCAACCAACATCATGGCTTCAATTCTACCATGGACCCCATCTACAGCTCGTAACTTTCTTCCCTTCTAAGAATTTAGCTTAAGCATGCCACATTTTTTTAAAATGCATATTTTATCCTAGTTATGCTATGAATAAAACTGTTTAAGTCTATATTAGCTTATGTGAATGAATAATGTCCACAAACAGCTAAGTTCTGTACATTTTCAGGAGTGCATTATATATTAATTGAACAAATATGTTGTGAGCATCTATCATGAGCTAGGCACAGTACCAAATGACAGAGGCATGGTAGGACAGGAGAGAGAGTTCCTGAACAGAGGTAGCCTTTTAACAAGTTGGATGTGCACACTACAGCATAATGGCTAA